CGTTGTTCTCCTCTTAATTTATTTGCCATACGTCAAGATGTCAAGTATGAAGATCTGGGTGTCTGATGCGCGCGTGATATTAAGAATTGTCGGGAACATCGGCGCATGCCGTCGAGCGAATGAAGCCTTTTCTTGTTTAGCCGCAGCCTTCGGCAGCCACAAAGCCATTTGTGTCTCACGAATAAAGTCGCGTGTGCACGCGTGTGTCCGGAAAATAGTGCGGGTTTGTAAGCTCCCTTCCCTCTCTCCCCGTCCTCTGTCCCTCACCTTTCCCGACGCCCCCGTTCTCTCCCGAAAATTCGCAGTCGGAACCCTTTTGTCGACGACGCGCTGCATGCACGCCGGAATAAACAGCTGCGAATGCCACTTCAATAACGGCCAAGCATCGAGATAGGATTTTGGTCATGGCCCGCATTCATGTGGTCCTCGAGAACGTGGTCCGGATAAATTCCGCGACGGTTCCTTCCCACTCGTCTACTTTCTTTTCACCAGCCGCTGCTCCGCTTCGCGCGCGGAACGATCGATAGTCGTACGTCAACGAAATCATTTAGTTACGCGTATCACCCAACTAAATGATTTGGTTACTGTAACCGATTCATTTGGTTGAAACGATTCCACCAAATGTTTGGTCATTGTTACCGTTTTTTTTCAGCGTACGAACGAATCCCCAAAAATGGCGAGCACGGGGCGACGATAAATCGACGCACAGCGTACAACGGGGTAATTCGCGTTATGTCGCGCGCAAAAAAGCGCCGAATACGAAGCATTAATGCGAGCACTTTAATGAATATAGAATGAACACACGACAGAACGTTCCTTTCTCATGCGGCCGTCGTTTATTGCAGACGGCGGCGGCGGCGGCGGCTTTATTGGCCGCTTTCATGCGCGCCTAAACGTGCGGTCCTGTGCTCGCACGTGGATCACGCACGGATCGGGAAACCGACGGGAAAACGATGAAAGCCTATGAAAGCGAGCATTGTGGGTGGTTTCGTGAGGGGCCTGGGATGGGTAAGAGACGATGCGGGGGCGACGTGGCGAGGGGGACGAGAATCCCATCTGTCGGCATTTTTGCGCCAACATTGTGCGTCTGTTTATATCGACAGACCGTGCAAGATAGAGTGAGAGAGAGAAGGAAGGATAGGCGGCGGAAGAAAGTGACGGAGAAAGAAAGGGAAAGCGTGAGAGAGGGGGGAAGGAGGGGGGGTAGGGGGGAAGGAGGATTCGCTTTATTGCCATATTGGTATATTGCCGCGGATCTGCCGGCGTAGTTTTTCGATCTTTTTTTTTTTACCTTCGCCGCACGCCACGAAAACGGCTGTACGACTCTCCACGGATACATTGGATACACAGCGCACAATGGTGCCGAGTCGGAAAAAATTCAGTTCCTGAAGTACGACTTTTTCAAACAATTTCATTAGAAAAGTGTTGTTTGATGGTACAAGATGCTCATAATCATTTTTCGTTTTGTCTGTGTACCGCATGATAGATTAATGTATAAATATTAAGAAGTTTCTAATGTGGATAGCATATAGATAGTTAAGATTAAACTCACATCCTTTAATTAATAACTTAACAATTTGCGTGTTATTTGCGAAATGGGTGAGAGACTTTCTTGTTCCGAATAGTCTTATCTACAAGTATATGACAGCTATTGTACCTAACGACAAGATTCAAGGTTCAATATATGATGTCTGTAGTTAGTTATAACAATTATCATATGTCCGTCGTAGACCGGGCCACTCTGAACAAAAAATTCTTTTTACCATTTTGCAAATAACAGGCAAATTTTTTAATTATTAATTAAAGAACCCTCTATATATGACCATTTTCAATCATCGACAACTCGAAATTTTGCGTGTTATTTGCGAAACGGCATAGGACTTTTCCCTTCAGTCTTCACCCGTTCTGCTTGCACGCCGCGGGAAACCGAGATTAGTTTGAGGCACCCTGTATATAAAAAGTCATTCAATGTTTCCCGCAGACATGTGTTGTTATAGCACCACTGTGCGCCGTCGTGGCTCTCTCCTCTCTGCGCACTCACACCGCGAGTCTCGCTCGTTTCCACGCGACGGTCAGTCACGACACTGTTGTCATAAATTCCCAACTGACGCACGATAGCCGGAGCGTATCGGAATATCGACGCGAATTTACTCCTTTGTTTTTCGTGGTTCCACCGCGCGCGCGCTTCGATGTCGGCGAGGATCATACCCCGTATCGGGCAGGCGAGCCGTCCTTTTCGTCGTATTTGCCCCCCTCCCCCTCTCGGAAAATGCCAAGGTTTAACGACAAGGGATTCCTCTAACGAGAACGAGTATCATTTCGTGTACTTCGACAGTAGAGCGTGTGTCAATTGGCGAAACGGGGGATTAATAAACCGAAATGTTATCGCTGCGAATAAGGGACAGATGATATCGACTCGTCAAAAAATGCAATATTCATAGGATATAAGAACATAAGAAATATTCACATAAATATATTTTGCACATATACAAATGTTAGAGCAATATGCAGCACTCGTCGAAACAAACTCAAGTCTTAATGAGCGGTACCGCAAAAGTACTAAAAACTATTTGTTTCCGAGTTTTTATAAAGTATTTTTTGCTGTAAAAATAAAACGTAAATCTAATTACAACAAAGGTTCCGTCTTCCGTTCGTTTTGAGTATGCATCACATAACGTATTTGCGTACGACATTCGCTCGTACACTCGTTCCAAACAACCTTCTAGTATCGACGAGTAATGTGATATCCGTGTTTCGTAAACATTTGTTGACAACAGTTTCCAATTCTCTGTGTCGGTTCATCTACGAATGCACGTACATGGCTATTTAATTACACATGAATTATACCATTGTTTTGTTCAACTTTGAAACTATAAATCGTTGACAGTGTATGGTTTCGTGTTGTGTGTTCGTAGCAGACAATATTTTAACGCATTACTGTGATCTCATATTCCAAACTGTTGTCGGCGTATCCTGATGCGCAATATTTTTTTTATCGTTTAGTTTACTTGTACACTATTAGAAAATATGAGATTGAGAAAAATTTATTATAATGTATCCTCCTAATGTATTATATATTTTCTTTATATCATTATATCAACAACGTTCTGATATAAGCGGACTCGGCATCGAATTTCAAAAGAAGCATTGTCCTTCTTTTTTTCTTTGTATAAGTTCAGCGTCTCGCACGCTCAGTCATTGTGAATGTGTTGCGGGCAACGACGGTTTTTATACAAGTTTTTGCCCACGTATGAAGTGGTGGCTGCTGCTGCCGCTGCCGCGCGTAACCCTTACGAATCCAGGTGGGTTCATGGTTGTCGGTAACAAGATATGAGGGGTGGTCGGAAGAGAAAACGGGGGAGGCACGAGAGGATACTCAGAGAGAAAAACGCGACGGGGAGGTGGGAGGAAAGAGTAGATACCACAGGCTGGCTATAAGCAACCTGCTCTCAGTTTGACACTGACGCCAGCTGTTCCTCTCGTTTTAGTTCCGAACGAAGGATAGTGAAGTCTGCATTTAGCATTTACAAACGGAAAGCCAGGAGAGCCTTTCGCGAGGACATCCTGCCCGAAATACATACCTCTCCATCATTCGTTACGATGCGGAAGGGCAACACGCACACGTGTTGGTGCGTGACTTTGTCGAACGGACTGCGTAATTCTATCTTGTTGTTACAGTCTACCAAAAAAATATTGCCAACGGTATTAAATTAAAACAACTCACCACTTGTGTTAACATTTACATTTACATTTTGTGTGAGCACTTGACGCTCGCATGAGATATACAGAGCTGAATACCCCGGGTTCGTGGGTGTGTAGAACTCATTGAGTTGGACAAAAAATTTCTTCACCATTTTGCAAATAACACGCACATTTGGAAGTTATTAATTAAAGAAGCTTCTGTATAGGACCATTTTCAATCATTGATAGCTCGAAATTTTGTGTGTTATTTGTAAAATAGTATAGAACTTTTTTCTTTAATTCAATGAGTCCTACACCCCCGCGAAGTGGGGGCATTATATTACACGCATGACGTGTCCAATTATTCGTGGAAATGTCCAAGTGTTGAAATGACGTATCAACTTTCAAAATATTTCTAGTAGATTTGTTGCTACCGCCATCTATAGTGAGCCTTCAAAACTAACCGGAATACCTAATAGCTTGGTAATCGCGTTGTATATAATATATAATGTTCTAAACATGTACATTTTTAGTCCGTTTAGTCCAGGAATAAAAAAACAAACCTTAGGATTCTTTGGATCCAATTAGTTACATTCAGTTGCCTGGTAAACAGGGTACCTGTATTACCTACTTACATTTATTTAATTTTTTTAAGTAGATAGATATACTAGTGTTATCTTTTAATTGAAATTTGAATTAATTTGTTAGCAATTTAGGTTTTAACCGAAACATCGTAATTAAATTACTAACAAATTAAAAACAAGATTTAAGAAAAAATTAAGGAATTTAATACTATATTATTATTGCATAACATTATTATATTGCTCTTATCATGAAAAAAAGCAAGTATCTATTTATTATTTTTTCATCTGTTATTTTGTATTTCTTTCTAAATAGCACAATCTTCCAAAGGACGTTTTTAAATGTGAGACTTCTCTGGCCGTCTTCAGGACGTCTTAAAGACATTCCTTGCAGGCCTGTATTCTACAGTCATGGACAATAAAGTTGTCTGGTCATTTTGGTTTTAGTGAGTTTCGGAACGCATCAAATTTCATTCATCATGCGGGTTGCGGTTCGTTATGACATTTCACTTATTTGACACGTCAGGTTTTATTCACGTCATTTGCCTCTTTTCATGACAAGTCACTGTGCTTCCCTCAGCGCATTAACGCTTCCCCTCTTTCGAAATGTGATGCTTTTTGCTGAAAATTACAGTGAAACGACCAGCAATCTTATTGTCTATGACTGTATGGAACGTGATATAGTCTGTTTGCCGACTCTTAATGGACCAATTACAATAGTTACATGACGTTTCACTATTATAGGCCCTTTAATAAGAGTCGACAGTCATAATCGCCAGTCAGATCGGTCTTCACAGTAGTTTGATATGGGCTCTATAAAAAAAGATTGAAATAATGATTGCGTTCAGAAAACACAACGTTTAGTGAGCAGTCGATGATTATTGGTCTCTTTCGTTAAATCCTTAAATTTAGAACGATTATATTGACGAATTACTTAACCGTTGTGCAATTTTATAATCTACGTAATTTTTATTACAAATTTTTATAAAGTCTTTCATGAAAACATCATCTAAAAAATATCTGGATAAATAACGTTACTTATCTTTCATCTAGATAAACTAAAAGCAGAATCATCATCTCACCTAAGATGAAATTTTCGGATTTTCATCTCATCTTCATCTAGATGAATCTGAAATCATCTGAGGCAAACACTGCCTATAAAATATATTTATCGTTTCTATAATATAACGGCAATATTACTGAATGCCTGCGTCGAAGTGTCGCGTAAAGATGCGATAAACGGACGAAAGATTTATCGAATAACCTTCCGGTTCTCGCGTAGAGGCAATTAGAAGAGCGAATATACGAGTGAAGGAGGAGGCGAAGGAACGCGCGACGGGACCTTTGTTTTATCAGAAACAAAACGACAGGTAAATAAAGAGAAAGAAGATAAGGGAGTCAAACGAGATTGTTGGGTATCACGTCTCTCGTCGAGATGCTGGATCGTGCCGCTCATTTATTTCGCCCGAGTCACCTCGTAGACGAGCGGAACTGCGAGCGGCTCCGTCGAATAAAGCGCCCGAACAAACAATGCGGCTTCTCTCCAGATGCTTCCGGTCTCTTATTTCATCGGATAGCCATCCGAACACGTGCCGCGCTTCCTCCTCCCCTCTCTCTCTCTCTCTCTCTTTCCCTCTCTCTTTTCCTTTCTCGTTTCCTTCCGCAAGAGTAATAGGTGAGAGTTCGGCATTCCGCTCGCTGTTATTATTTCATTGCATTCAATAATTCGATCGCAAATCAACTATGAGATCGAGAGGTCGCTTCGGATCGCGGTGTGCTCGCCAGAAGATTTCCGTCCGGCTGATTAGACACCTGTTATATCCAATATCGTGAGCTTTCCGACACGCCGATCGGTTATTTCACGCCAGTGATCGATACGCGCGTTTTTCGAAAGTGAGAGCCCGCGTTCCCAGCTCGGCTCGCGTTACTCCCCGAATCAAAATTTGGATGCTACCTTAACGATCTTAAGGGTAGTTTACGCTTATTCTTATAGAAGACCTCTAGAATAGAGACTTATTTTGACGACTGACTCAATCAAACAATAGCTCAATTATTAGAATAGAATATGGTAGTGTTTGAGAGATATATAGTGTACAGGGCGTATATTCTTGCAAGTACGATCAAAGTCAAATGCCGTCAGGACGTTCAAATTTCCGTACGTGACATTTTATCAAAAAGTCACGACTCGTGCTCGCTCCTCCTTGCCCTCCTCTGTGAGTGACTCGGCGTCGATCGAGCTGCATCCGTGTTTATGCGCATACATCTCTCTCTCTCTCTCTCTCTATCGGTACGTACGTCAGATAGGCGAACGCCTATGCACACACCACGACCCGACGTGGTCCCACCTGGAGGATGTCGTCGCGTGCCATTAAGGGTCCCGTTGGCAAACGTTTAACGACGATATGCCCGGAGCACGTGTCAGAACATCCTCCCGGCAATAAAAGCCCTCTTAGATTTCGGCTTCTCTTTCCCTCTCTCGCTTGTCGAGCCACTCGATCCTGCGTTTCTCTCCTCCGACACAGCCGTCGGCAAGGCAAGCGGTGCAGCCTGCGAGTCGCGACGAGAGAGGAGGAGGATGAAGGAGGGAGAGGAAGTATGCGTGCGTCTCTCTCCTTCTTGCTCTTTCCCCTTTGTGCCCTTTCGCTCCATTCCCCTCCCTCTCCCCCTTCCCTGACTCACGCAAGAGCGGCTTGCATTTCCTGCGCGGCACGCGACTCCGAAGTCCAGCTGCTTCCTGTCTGCCACTTCTTCTTCTTCTCCTCCCACCTCCTTTTTCCGTTCCGCCGACCCACGCATTATTCTACATCGTCGACTGACTGTCCCCCGTGATCCCGTTCGTCCACGTGGTTCCTTCGAGCGTCCTGCCGACCCATTGTGCTCGAAGGAGATCGTCTTTCATGCCTTCGTGATATTTTGAATTTGCATAGTCGACAGAGAGAGAGAGAGGGAGAGAGGGGTGAACTATGCGAAAGTGAAACAAAAGGAGAACGAGTATGCCGAGGAGGCTGCGTTTTGTTTCTCGTCGAGAGCCCTCGTTGATCGTCGCGTCAAATTCGCAGGTTTCATTGAAATCAATGCGAGTCTCAAGACGTTTGCTACTTATGAAAGTTAATTAAGCTAATACGCCTGGAGGGTCTTAATTTCGGTAAGGTCGTTTAATTACTACGTGTATCGGGACGGGAAGCAGCGGTTAGTCTTCACGAAACCGTGTCCAAAGTGTGTTTACACGACTGAAGTAGTCTGTGACGCGATGATAACCAGCGTGTCGGCGCTCCTCGAAGTTGTTCCATCAACATGTGTGGAAATACGGCGTAGCGGGCGACGTCGGGACGTCTTCGCGATAAGCACGTTGTTTTAATTCGCATGGGAGAAACACGAGAAGTACTATATTTAAACGTGGAATTAGCGAGAATACTCGAGAATGCGCGAGAACTTGACGATGTTTCACGTTCAAATGGCGGGATGAAGTAGGGGAAAAGTGGAAGTTGTTTGGGACAAACGGAGATGGAGAGAAGACAGTTGGCGCAGAAGTACTTCGGATACCGAGAGAGAAAAGGAGAGGAGGAGAACACTTGTCCCTTCGAAACTATAAATGCGACGTTATATGAAGGCGAAAAGTGTGCGAGTATCGGCGAGCGACAGCGTGGACGATCTTCTCGGTACTTTGGATTGTTGCTGTTGATGATACTGCTAGGGGTGAGGTAACAGCGGTTGGCTGCCGGCAGATGGCGACACGTGTATCATTTGCACGCCTTCACTGCGGCTGGTTATTCGATTGGTTTTCGGAAATATTTCCGCGTGAGGAATATAGAAGAATTTTCAATCTTATTGCAGGATGTTTTCCATAACATGAAAATAGAAAGTGGAATTCGAGTTTGCGGTGTTCGGGCATAATAATTTTCTTTCCACATATCCCCGAAGAAAAAAATGGCAAGAATTTAAATCTGGCGAGGTAGGGTGGTCGTTCGAGATCTCCATTGGTATCGTCTGTAAAAATTATTTGTTTTTAAGATCCCCCCGTTTTCAAATATTTCGGTCACTGTGTTGCAAAATTGTATTCGCTTTCCCATAGCTGTTGGATTTAACAATTGATACATTGTTAATTTGTATAGGTGTAGCTTTATCATATTTTCTACGATTTTCCATAAATTTTCCCTTTTTAACCCGAGAACGTGAGCAGCTTTCCGAATGAAAGAATTGGGATTCGTTTCGAAATATTTCGCGATGTCTTCAATAGTTTCTTCTGTCGTTACGGCACACGGGGGTCCAGGTAAATCGTGCTTTCGGTCATGTAATGTACCACATGTGACAAAATTATCAATAATCCTGCGCAAAGGTATCAAGAAATCGAGAACACTTTGGACGATCAACGCAACGCATTACGACAGAGGCGTAATATTCACGCGCCACATAAAACAGTAAAAATCTAACCTTTTCAGTGTGTTCTCACTTGCAACTCCTTTCGATCCACACTTGATACAGAATCCGCGATATGCATTTGCGTAAATCTTTCCTCTTCCATAAAAGCACTCGATGAGATATACCTTTTCTTCGATGGTGAGGTCGCTCATGTTTCTCTTCCTAATCTGCTTTCTATAACGGCTGAAACAGAACTGACGAGTACACGATTACATCTGTATTAATCTTCGTCGGACGGATAGAAGAAAGTTACAAATATTTACGTTCAGCAACTTCCTAATGGTCACCCTGTAAATCGACAGGCTTGTTAAATGGAAATTATCGGCTGTGCTCTTTGAAGTTTGGCCAGACGAGAAGAATCGAAATTTGCCGGATTTAAAACCGGCTCCGACGCGAACCGTCACGAGGGATACACGCTCTGCCGGTACGAGAAATTGCAATAATTATTTCATTTATATCGTTAACCACACGCGAGCGACGATAGCTGTTTAAGCAGCGCCGTGTTTGCTCGTTCGAATGAAATTAATTAAACGAATGCGGTTTAATTGACTTTGCGATCCGATCGGATTTCCCGAGCGACGTGGAACCGCGTTACGTTGCGTATATTAGCTACACACATACACACACACACATACACACACGTAAACAATATTGCAAATACGTTTCGTCGTCGTCCTTCCTGTCCGCTTGTCTTCCTCTCATTTCGCGACGCAGCGTCGGAGGCGCAGGCGCGCCTCCCACGATACAAACAATATCGATTGCCATAATTAACCGGTCGCAACAAGCGCATGAAGTTACGCGACTGGATGCACGCGTGCATGCTTGCGTGCGTATCTGTCTGCTCGTTTTCATTGTGCGCGCTTACCGACACGGTCCAATTCAGCGGAATCGCGTCTCGCGCTCGCATTCACGACGGGACGCTTTTAACGTTATTGCACACACGTGATACTTCCGAACGATGCGGATACGGTTTGCGTTCACAGGGTGGACCGTCAGTCACGGGGTTACCGTAACTTCAAACACCATTCGGCAGCCGCGCGCGCGAGCGGTGATCGCGCTTTCTCGGTAAAAGTCGACGAATCGAAGGCTTAGATACGACGTACGATAGATTCTTACTTAAAAGTCGCACGATTCTACGACTTCGTGGAATTTCTACACGGATAAGATGAATATTCTTATTTTGAAGTGACCCGTGTCGGAGCGATTCGCAACGTGTACATGCTCAAATAAGATTATGTTAGTGTTGGATAGATAAAACTTGCTTACACGAAGACACTCCATATATAGTTACACTAAAAATATAATATTCTCGTTATTCAAGAGTAATTTTCTCGAGTGGAAAGTAAAGAATGTAAGAACGATATCTTCGAATCAAGAATTACAATTTCTTTAACTTGAAATTATATTACCAGTTTTGAGGCTTTCACGGCCATCGGTACAATCCAATTGCGTTGCTTTCGAAGGTATGCCGCGTCTTAAATCAGCGTTCTGCCAACGTTTCGCAAACATTATAATTTGTATCATCAGAGCTTCGGGTTCTGATATTGAGCCTTCTTGGATATTGGTTGTCCTGATATATTCTTTTGTCCTTGAATGGAGGGTAGGGGGGAAAGGACGGGTTGGTTCCAGCCATTCAGCGTGTTTTTTATTGATCAGCTGATCAATTAAAAAACCGGAAGGGCAATATGCCAAATAGGGTTCACATGCACACCCTTGTTTCGATTGAGATGTTTCAAAATTTCCAGGCCTTCATGATGGTTTTCCGGCGAAATAGCCTTGTGACGGAGCCAATACAGTAGCCTTGTCGTATTGTTCGGAGTGTCCAGTCTCCATTCGGTGTTTTGTTAAAGCTGATTGAGAAAAGTGGACTAGTTCATTTAGTCTATAGTAACTATTTTATTAGTAAATATTTATGACTCCTCTCTCTCTCTTTCTTTCACTCATTCACTCTTTATTCTCTTTCTCTTTCTCCATACACAGGACACATAAACACAAGATATAAAGACATGACGAGAACTTGTAGAATTTGTCAGTTTACCAGTTGGTATGTCTGATCACTGAAATAAAACAGCACGGCTCGCCGTCAGTAGTTGGATTGGGTTGACCACAACGAGGTTGAAGTTACGGGGAATTTCTTCACATACGAAGTGAAAATGTACATCAGAATGAAGTGGGAATGTCAAGTTATTTTAAGATAATTTACGTAGAACGAAAAAATGTTTTTAATAAAATGACGATAATTACCTGAAATGATTTTTCTTACGGACTATATATTTAGTAATAGTTATGAAATATATCTCATTTTTTGTTATCAAGATTTGCTATCGATCGCCAAAGTTTAGTTTAATGATCTAAATGTCTAGTTCGAGCAACTAAATCTTGATTCTTAAAACTATATATTTACTTCATCCAATCAAATTATTTCGTAATTATCGCTGAACGTTTGGTCCGCAATATTTCACTGAATTATTTAGTAACTGTCACTAAATTTTGTTATACATCACCGAATCCTTCTTTCGTGTGTACGCACACGAAAGACACGAGTCTCCCGGCGGTTCAGCAGCTCGATTAATTTTCGCGCAGACAATTCGAAGATGGAATTTTTCGATGGCGTTATCGGCATCCTCAGCGCCTTCGCCCGTTCTCGCCGTTCTCCCGTTTCTTATCGGATTTCGATCAGACGAGAGCGCGGGCTCCGACCAGGAGGGAAAACAATTTGCTTGCCACGTGTTGGGAAACCACTCTCTTAGAATCGGGCCAACAGTCGCTCGATTCCTGTGCGTTCACTCGTGTAAACTGATCACGTCACGTGAACGTTCGCGGCCAGCACTCTTTCCTCTTTTTTGTTTCCCCCTTTTTTTTTTTTTAGTATACTCACCCGCCCACGTGGCTCGAAGAGGCCGAGGCGGAGGTGAGGCGTGTGCCAGCAGGGCGCGGAAAAACGATTAGTTTTTAATTTGGTCCAGGTTGATCTGATCGCGCGAAACGCTGCGGTCGAGAGAAGCCCGCTCGCTCGCTCGCTCATTCATTCGTTATTACCTCTTAGACTTTCGGCGATTCGGAGGGTGCGTCGTCCTTCCTTCTCTGCTTCCCTTTCCTTTCTATCTCTCACACACGGCAGTCTCCTCTCGTTTCTTTTCCCCCGGCCCGTTTTTTGCAGGGGCGTTTCGCTTCACGTTCCAACTGCGTCTGGCACGATCGATCAGAATCAGAATTGCCCTCGACCGCAACTCGATCGAGAAATGCCCGACCGCTCCACCCTTTCGCCCTGAATTTCCTATTTTCGGGGCTATTTTTCTCCGAACGTACGGCGGCGGCGGCACCGCACTTCGCGTTCGCGAGATCGCAGATTCACGAGCGTCCCTCGTATTCGCCGGATGAATTCCGCGGAATCGCGTCCCGATTCGGTAATGACGACGCGAACCGATCGGCCGCGAACTGTTCCGACACGACATGCAGATTTGCAACTCCCGATTATTCGATTCACGGGCGTTTCCGCGTGCGCCGTTTTATTTATGCGCGGATATATCGCGTTAACATAATGCGCACATCTGTCTGATTTACATACGACCGTATTTCGCCGTTTTCATACATACGCGTGTCAGCGTGACGGTTTCTTATAATTGTATCGAATCCGATTTGTTCGAAATCCGGCAAAAGAAAGAGAGGCATTATCTTGCTCTTATCCATCGTAGATACGAACGGAGAAGCGACATCGAGTTCGACATATCGAACGTATAAGAACGTTGAAGCGGTTCTTAATTGAAAGATTTCAATAGAAATGGATAAATGAATGTGACAAACTGAGTTAAATTTTCAAAAATTTTGAATGATACGATTAGTCAATTATTCTAACGTGAGTGGTAAAGAACAGAGAGATTAATTTAACCATTTGAAGCGCATACTTTTCCTCCCGCCTTTTCATCAAATTTTTCATCAAATTTAGCACCCGGGGTTCTTTTGGGTCGAATTCGATCGATACCTCTTTCTCAGAAAACCGTGCGAGACGCACGCCTCTCAAGGAAGGTCAATTCTCTCCCTTTTCCCCGTCTCTCCCCCTTTTCCTCTCTCTCTCTCTCTCTCTCTCTCTTTCTTTTCGCTTTCCAGAGCCAAGAAACGTCTGCGAGCCGTCAGCTCTCCCCTCGCGCATTTCGTCCATCTTCGGAGATCGGGTCTCATCGTGTGCAACATGTCGCGTGCAGGCACGTGCTCCATAATGTATAATCTGACCTGTGGCCGCAGGCATTCTACAGCGCCGATATAAATTCGAAAGGGCGGGGACGAGGGGAAGGCGACGGGACGAAGAAGAAGAAGACGAAGCGAAGAGAGCAACCGGCGAGAGAGACAGAGAAAGTTCAGCGGAGAAAAAGAATCGCGAAGATCGACGAGTACTCGTTCGATATTAGATACGATTTTAGACACGATTTCCTCGATAGCTGCAATATGCCGGTTCAGCTTGCCGGCGGAAAGTTGATTTTCATCGTTTCCCTCGTCGGTGCGAAGGAGACGGCTCGGTATGCAGTATTATAATTTATTATTTATGCAAAAAGCAACGTAGAAGAAGTAATTTACATACTGCCATTTTCCAATATAATCTCCATCTTTTTCAAGCCACTGACGTCATCTTTCCGGTAGCTTCCGTATCCCTTGAGAAAACAATTCTTCTGGCCACAGACGCACCCACTCTTGAACAGTTTCGATGACTTCTTCATTGGAACGAAATCCCCCCCCCCCCCCCCCCCCCCCCCCC